TTATTTATTTATTTGAATGTGTTAACTGTATCAACTGAAGAAATAGTTTAAAGTAAAACTCTACAACTTGGTGAAAATGGCATGAGTTGAGTGAAGCATCAACGTAATTTTGGCTCAAAATTTGACTGGCTTCCTATTCTCCTCATGATCCATGAACTCTAATAGGCTCCCATCAAGGCCTTTCCTAGGGCAACATTCTGCTAAGTCAACTGTCAGGGATCATTGCTTCTCCATAAGAAGCTGTATCCTTTCCTAGTGAGCATAGCAAATTGCCCTTCCAGCAAATGTATTATTTTATATCGTTCTATAATCAGTCAGTTTTTTTTATGATAAATGCAAGGATCGGAGTGTCTTTCTTTTGGCCACATGTGTGGTTTGAACATCATAATTATTGTTTTTATAATCTGTCTGTTTTATGCCATGAAAGAATCTCCAAACAGTTTTATGCATTTAAAGTAGATCTCTCAAAACATGATCCTACTGCAGGGTGGCCTCATTGTACTTGAAACGAAGGCTCTGGTGATGTTCATGAATTGTTTGGGAAAGTACCATCAGTTCATAACAAATGCCTTGTCCTGTATTCCATGTTCTCTAAATAACCCATCCCGAGAGCAAGGTGAAGCAAGTGGGACACAAGAAATCATGGATTATCCTGACACTGGGATTATTCAAGGTGAAGGTTCCTCAGATTCCACAATGGAAGCAGCAGTATCAAAATCTGAAATGAAGTGGAAATTTATGGAGGATTTTATGATTAGAGTGTCTTCTTTTTCCTTGGGGCTAGCTGTTGCAGATTCATCGGGTACTCCACTCCCCTGAACAGTTATTTTCCTACTGTCTCATGTTGATATACTCTTATGGAAATGTATACAATTAGACCATTTCCTTTTGATACAAGGAGGTGACAAACATCATTGACCGTTAGATTTGAAATCGGGTGGCTGAGTATGTGTCATTGTTTGGGCACAAACTTCAAAATAAAAATTTTTAAATGTTGTGACGCACTTACGTCTTTTGGATTTCCTCCAATGGCTAAAAGTGATTGTGACCTCTATGTACCAAAAATAAAATGGTCTCATAGTTTATAATCCGTACTTAATATATATGTTGTTTATTCCTATTCTTTTGCCTCTTGTAGTTGGGATTTGGGAGGTCCTTTTGGAAGTTGACTTCCAGCTAAAGCATGAAATGATTGATTTAAGAAGGAAAATGATATTTGACCTTTCTCGTTTCACAATCGCTGCTCCACAGCTGCGAAAAGGCTGCGATGTTCAAAGAAGTGAAGTCCAAATCCCCCATTTCCATTCTGGCTCATTGGATGATTCATTGTCTAATAAAGGCAGTGGAGATCTTATTCACACTTCTCCAGTCACAAAAAGTATGTTGGAAGTTGTAGATGATGAATTTTCTTCAAAACCTCTGGCACCCCAGGGAGAGCACTCAATTGATGGTGGCAAATATGAAAAAGGTTCTTGGCATGGTCATTATATCTTGAAACAAATGTCTGCTTCCATCAAGATTGAAGAACCTCCACCAGAAGCCATGCATGACCTCCTTCTGAGATATAGGGCACAATGGGTTGGTGGTGGTTCGTTCTCTGGCCTCCATTTGGCATTTACGACATCTGAAATTCAGGTATGCTTTTTTTTCCTCTTCCAGTTACTTCTTGTATCTTGCTACAGCTATAATCAATTGAACTTTGTAACTGATACTGAGATTATATCTTGTACACTTAGAATTCTTTCTGCTCTGGTCTTATGTATATGCTCTGTGGTTTCCTTTTCTATTTTTTTTTCTTTTGAGTAAATTGAAATTTTGACGGCATAGATGTAAGGTCGATTTGTTTCCGTAAATCCTTTTAACTGTTTGGTAGTATGTGCCATTGAGGTCAGAGTAGTTGTTGTTCTATCTCATGTATAGGTACTAATTCTTAATGCATTGAATGATAAAGGACTTGTGTGTGAGATGGTAGAAATATGTCATACGTGACCCCATTGATTGACTCTAATGTGTAGAGTTGAGGTTTGCTTATCTGCTACATTATGAAAGCGTTCCTGGCTTCTAGAACACATCACTGGGTAAATCCTTATGTTGATAACTTTTAAATGTGAGGATGAGCATGCGATTAACTTTGAAGTGGCTATTCTTTCACTCGATAATTTGAGTTCATTTTTCTCATTCTCTTGCATGCTGTACGCATGGCTTTGCTCTTAAATAATTATGCTAGTTTTGTTTGTGCATCCCTCCTTGAAACACTATTTTTCCTTGTCATTTATATCTAGCTGGCATTTGTTTTTTCCGTCCTCTTGAATTTGGTCGCCTCAACTTCCCAGTTTTTGCGTTGTATCTTTAGATTTCTTTCAAGTTGATATAGGCATGCTATTCCAAAATGAATCATTGAGGAAAATGATAGAATTGATACTTTATGGCATGCACAATTAGACTTAATCTCTTAGGATTTTTCTCATCTTTATTCTGATGATTATATGCATAATTCGTATAAAGATCAGAATAGCTGCATCAGCCAGAGAAAGCACACAGCTAACAAATTCACTCAAGATTGTATAATAATTGAGAACTTAATCAACTTAATCTTTAAAACAGTGGGTTCCGTAAGAATTCCAAAGTTGTAGCAGTTATCCTCTGAATTATGATCCCAAATTTGTTCTGGAACTCTCTTTATCATGTCCAAAAATGATCTTCTGTATGTTGAAGCACACCCTTATATAAAGGGTGAAACTTGATATCCAAGTGAATAATCTTTGGCAAGTAAGAATCTTCATTTCTGATGTTTATGGAGCATTTTCCAAATGACCCAAAAGGCTACTGCAGTCTGGCACAAAAGGCTACTGCAGTCTGGCATCGAGTGAAGAAAAATTCAAATGACCCCCTTCCCCGTGTTAAAAAATTATGAAATTTTAACTGGAGATTCCCAACAGAATCCGACACTTCTCCACAAAATTTCAGATCAAAACAAAATCATTTGATCCCCCAAATAATTTGCAAGATAGAACCTATTTTTCCCTCTGTTTTCTGCTGCAAAATCTGGCCGAGAATGAAGAAAAAATCGATTGACCCATCTACAGGTATCCAAAAATCATGAAATTTGTGCTGCAGTGTCTAATACTTTGATCCTTATTCACACAGAATTTCTGCTTAATTAGTCACTCAATCAAGTCTTTCGTAAAGCCTACTCTGTGTAATATACTCTGCCTCAAACAGCGGGCAGTGTGAGGAACGTGATTCTTTTGGAGACCTTTGCCATCTGTAAAATTAATGAAATGTTTACAGAAACATCCTAAGACATTTTCGCACCTTTTATAAAAAAATATCAGCATTTTTGGCATCAAAATCATGGCCAAATGAAATTAATCATGAACGTTTTCTTCACAGACTGCCTTTTGCAAACTGATACTACCTTCTTTCTGATCATGTCCAAAATTTATGAAATTTTTACTGAAGGCCCCTGATACAATCCTGTGTCCAAATCAACAATGTTGTCTTGATTGGATGCCATTAACTTTCCCTATTTTGTCTTCATGGCAATCTCCATTGCAGCAGTCTTCAGCAGACTGCAACAGTTGAGCGCATCCTGGTTTTGGATTTATTTGGACCCCTTTATTGTCATCCAAATTGCATAAAATTTTATATGTAATAATGCAAAAGGAGTCCGGGAAATTAAATCCCTCATTTTGATCTTAAAACAAGCAAAATTCAGCAACTATGGAGAAAGAAATAATAGATGTAAATCAAGCCAAAGGAAGAATCTTCATTCATAAAATTATGTATAGAAAATATCCTAGTCCCCCCTCCATAAGACATCTCACTTCTTTTTAATATAAACAATGAAAAATAAAATCCAAAAGATATACATCTTTCTAAAACCACTACAAAATTTTAGGAAATATTCCTTACAATCTCTAAATCACGTACCCCTTCTCCTAGCTCTCCTATATTCTCTCTCCCAGATGCTCATTTCTAAGATTTTCTCTAACCATCCCATTAACCACCACATGCCACGTGACTCCCCTCTTTGTTACCCCCATTGACTTGATCTTCCAACCAAACAAAAAAGGTAAGTTAATCTTCAATACACCACCTTATTAGATCCCTTAAAACAAGGAACCATATCTCTCCCACCAAAATAAGTATTCTTCACCCTATTCAAATCACGCCATAGTCAGCCTAACTCTTCCTCCTTAAGTTCTAGTTACATAGCAAAAGGAAAGAGCATCCCATACAATTGGAATCCCACACCCCAAATATTTAATAGAGTCAACTTTTAACCCTGATAATGTGATTCTTAAAAATTAAAACTACCAACAAATAATAAAAGAAGTCCACCAGTATCCCTAAAATCAAATAAATAATAATAAATAAAAAATTTAATCAACAAAGTTCTTGAATGTCTTGGGTGCGATTTGCATCATACTCCCCAGGTTGAAAAAAAACTCGTCTCGAGGTTTTGGTTGTTGCATCATCATCCTCCCTTAGTTGATGGTGAAGCCCTACGTCCCCACACAATTGTTCTTTGTGAAGCATGAGACTAAGCAACTGAGATGCACCTCCGATGGTTATCCTTTCGGCATATACAGTGGGCAACAAATTGCTGATTGGGAGTTCAAAGTCATATGCCTTCACTGAAAGAAGAAGAAGCATCACTTCTAACTGAATAATTTTGACCTTGCATCAAGGAAGTCTTCTCCCAAGTGCAGTCCCAATCCGCCACAGAATAGGACTCGAGCACCATTTTCAAATGGTTCTTTTGTCCCAGATCTGGAACCACTTCATCACATATAGTTGAACCTTCATGGTAAATTCTCTTAAAACTTGTTATGTCATCCCTTTCCATCTCACAATTAGAAATTTACAATGAGAAGATAACTCGTTGAAATTAGGCCATAGCCAAGTTCCAACTTTAGCACCTGTGCACAAATTTGCTTCCCATAAGTGAGCCCTTTGAGGCAATTATAGGCTCTGACATGAACTGCAAGAGAGTGAATCAACCCCAGTTTTGCACATCTCTATTGAAGCGTTGACCAAAAGAATATCTTCACCATATTTTAGCCTTTCAAGAGAAACAAGAAGAGTCTTAACACACAATGAAAGACTCATAATATTGTTTACACTTGAGGGACCTACTCCAAAACAAGTTTGGTCAATAGCAAGGACACTGAAACAACCTTCCCCAAGGAGTACTATGGTTTCATACCAACACCAAGAACCATGGTCACCCACCTGAATAAAAACAAAGTCATCAAATAGAGCAAGTCGATGTACATGTAAAAGAAAATCAGCAAGGATCTTCTCATGATATGGGGTCTCTTTAACTTTATCTGTCCTCATAGATTTGTTTTTTCTTATGTGTACCCTCTTAAAGAAAGTATTAATCGAGTTGTGCTAGTAGTGCTGCAACATATGGTTGAATGAAACTGGTTGTCACTAACAACACCAAAATTACCACCATATGAATTGGAATGAGGGACACCAATGACCAAGTTAAGCTGCTCCCAATACTTACAGGAAAATACAACTTTAACATCCATTGGAGTGCACATCTTTATTGCAAAGAAGAAGAAAACATGTTGAGAACTGAAATTCGAGTAAGGAAGAGCAGTTTGAATGCAAGTAATGCTAATGTAAACATATTTGTCTCCCTTTGGTAGCGAGGAGACAACAGTGCCAAACGTCGATACACTCCTGCAGCAAATTATTGTCTTCACATATTTTAAACATGTTAAGTCAGCAATAGCAACCATTAGTTCCCATATTACCTGATGTTGCTGGACTTACACTTCAAAGTTACCACACCAATTATGACATGGTTCTAATAAACAACCAAACCATCCAAGTTCATCACAACCATTCCACACATCATGATTAAGTTTTTTTAAACCGATAACCAACCACAACTCTTCATGTTCATAGCATCATTCTCATCGCCTCTACTAGACAACTCCACTCAATTGTGCGTACATAATTTTTACCATTGGCACTAATATTACCATATCATCAACTACAAATCTGGATATCATCAACTTTTTCCTTTATAATTTGTTGGATGGATAATCAAACCACATCGTCCTCTTTAGAAGATTCAAGTGGAGTCTCTTCAGTCAACGGCAACAAAGATAGTTCATGTTTGACTACCGACACTTTGCTTTGATTAGAAACAACTACTTCTGTTTTCTCATCTAATCCCAATCTGCTTTGATAATAGTTATGGATTGCCCTTCCTTGTTCAATAGGGGAATGCATCACTTGCAAATTCCACAGTATCTTCAACAGAAGTAATGTTAAAAGTGAACATTTTCTTTTGATTGATGCAATGATGAATTTCTTCATTATCAGATTTAGAATTCTCCATCTTTCTATCAATAACAATGTTAGACATATCCAAAATTATCTTTTCTTTTTCAGCAGGTTGATCTATATATACATCGACCTTTTTTTTTAAACTGTTAACTGATAGATACATCTACCTTTTTCTCTTTAGATTTAAGAATTTGTGTCTGTCAATATATCAACCTCTCTAGTGACAAATTTAAGATTTTTCTTCGATCAAGAAATCACATATCTACGTTTGTATGCCCAAGTTGCGGTTTTGTTGTAGGGATAGCAACTCCCCGGGTTGG